CCGCGTTCTGCTTTAAGCTTAATCTCCAACCATGTAGACACAAATTTAAAAATTATTTTTAGAAGAACAGGGGAAGGCTAGATCCCTCTAAGCATCTTACTGCTGTCTGGGTCCCTGTTTCAGATTTTCCCTCGCTTCCTCTCTGGTGTAACTGCTAGGACAGAAATGAGGGAAATCCCTTTATCCGAGCCCTGGACAACCGTAAAGGGGTTTTTCTAAGGTAAAAAAAGGTATAGGCTAGATGTACATACTTGGTAAACTTGCAAACTTTTTCAGTGTTCTCCCCTCTGCCTTGAATCCAAATCTTCAACCAAAGACGGCACCAGCCTTAACATGCCTGTAGAGCTACACAGTAATGGTGGCCATGCTCACTTTGAGAAATGGACTTTGATAAATTCAAACTATATGCTAAACATTGAAAATTGGATTTCAATCAATAATTAATTGATAATGTCTTAATTTATGATTTCAAGTTCTCATGTAATTTCACAATCTGAACAATCATAATCAATTTTTATATCCATGCCCTAGACAATTGACTCAGTGGATCAAATGCCACCTAAATCTAGTTTAAATTAATTGAAAGGGAAGTTAATGCTATCGAATGTATAAAAAAAAAAAAAAATCGAAGTGTACAGTATGTGACCACCATAAAACTATTTATACACAGCCAGATTGGGACACGCAGCCACTTCATTCCTGGGGCAATCTTTCAATTATTCACGCAGGTTAAAATTGTATTTAGAAATTATATAATTGTTTGGGGTTTCTAAATAAAGGCTTTCAATTGTAAATAAAGTGGTGGCAGTTGAAGTTTTTTATGTTGCATATTTACACATCTGTTTATCAAACACATATTTTCAGGAACAAAATACACAAAAACGTATTTTAGTGAACACAAGCTCATTAGAATATGCATTATCTGAGTAAAAAAAGATTGGTTTCATTGAGTAAATAGATACTAAACATGCCAAAACACAAAATGACACGTGGCTAAGCCTTTACAGGTTAACAGGTTAGCGTCAAAGCGGTATTAAACAAACAAAAAAAAGTATTACATTGCAGCAATTCTTAAATGTGGTGTCTCAATTCGTTTTTTTTTTAAAGTGGTAGTAAACTCGTTTAAAAGAAAAAAAAAGTTTCCTGCTGTAGGGTAATATAATGTTCTAGTATGCATCGCATACTAGCACATTATGAAAGGCTTACCTTAGAATGAAGCCCTCCAGGGTGCGCTGTCACCCCTGCAGAGGCTTCATCTTCACCCAGTCTTCCTTCTGGGTTTGCAGACTACGGCTCCTTGAATGGCTTCGCTGCCGATGACATCATACACGGGAGTCTCAGCCATGGCACAGGTATGCCATTCCTTTAGAACACATGCACTGGTGATGTCACCAGCTGTTGCTACGTAGAATACAGCTGGTAAAATAAATATTGAACACGTCACCATTTTTCTTGGTAAATATATTTCTAAAGGTGCTATTGACATGAAATTTTCACCACGTCAGTAACAACCCAACCAATTCATACATACAGAGAAACCAAAACAAATAAGTTCAGAAATTTAAATTATGTGTAATAAAATGGAATGGCACAGGGAAAAAGTATTGAACACACTAACTGAAATTTATTTAATACTTTGTACAAAATCCTTTGTTAGTAATGACAACTTCAAGATGCTTCCTGTATGAAGATACTAGTCACATGCATTGCTCAGGTGTGATTTGGTCCATTCTTCCACACAAACAGTCTTCAAATCTTGAAGGTTTCATGGGCCTCTTCTATGAACTCTGATATTTAGTTCTTTCCATAGATTTTCTACTGGATTTAGGTCAGGTGATTGGCTGGGCCATTCTAGCAGCTTTATTTTTTAATAGAAAATCTATGGAAATAACTAAAGATCAGAGTTCATAGAATAGGCCCATTGAACCTTCAAGATTTGAAGACTGTGTGGAAGAATGGGCAATGCATGCGACTAGTTTCTCCATACAGGAAGCATCTTGAAGCTGTCATTACCAACAGGATTTTGTACGAAGTATTAAATAAATTTCAGTTAGCGTGTTCAATACTTTTTCTCTTTGTCATTCCATTTTATTACACAAAACTTAATTTCTGAACTTATTTGTTTTGGTTTCTTTGTATGTATGTATTGCATGGGTTCTTACCGACATGTGGTGAAAATGTCATGTCAATAGTACCTTTAAAAATATATTTACCGAAGAAAAATGGTGACGTGTTAAATACTTATTTTACCCACTGTATCTTCATTCATATTCATTCTTCATTTCATTTACCTACAGGTAAGCTTTATTATAAGCTTACCTGTAGGTAAAAATGAAAAAAGTGACTTTACTACCACTTTAAGGTGTTTTTTTCCTTTTATTTTTACCTGATAATCCGGCTAGCAAGTCTGTTATTTTTCCAATTCCTTTAACAGAACTAGCTGTCCAGCAAAAGTGGCAGTTAGAAAGTTGAGACAAACTATTTATCCCTGACAGGAGCACTTTCAATGGTCAGTTTTTATTTATTTATGTAAAACTTTTATCCCAAAAGGAAAAAAACAGTTTGCTGTAACTGATTATGAAGTGTTAGCTGGAATTGGGATTCAATTTGTTAGTCAAGTCCATCTAAATCTGCTAGTATTTCTAACACTACCCTCCCCCCTAGGAAGACAATACTACTGCCCAAAGGTGTCTGCTTTACTACTTCATCCAGAATGCAGAAACGTTGAAGCCATAGTAAACCACTTTAAAAATAACTCTAAAAGAACTTTTCCCTGCAAGTTAAGAGCATAGTGTGCTAGTATGCTTCATATACTAGCACATTATGAAAGACTTACCTGAAAATTAAGCTCTCCAGTGAAGCGCTGTCTTGCCTCCCTGAGGCTTCCATCTTCCCCTGGTCTTCCTTCACGGGCAGAGGTTGTTTGACTGGCCAAGCTGCAGTGACGTCACTCTCACGCATGAGCACGGGTTTTGCGCTCGCAGCACAGCTCTCTCAATGAATGGCATGATGTCCATTGAGAACGCAGTGAGTATGCTGCAGTACTGGGCGCTGCTACAGTAAATATCACCTAAACGGTGCACATTTAGCAGATATATACAGTACCTACATGTAAGTCTTATTAAAGGCTTACCTGTAAGTAAAACATAAAAAATAGGGTTTACATCCACTTTAAAACAGGAGGTGTGTTACTGGCAGGATCACCCGGTGAAATAAAGGGAAAAGATCCTAAAAAATTAAAACTAATGCAGCCACCACATCTAATCATTTTTTGTACTAAGTTCCCTCTCTAGTTCTCTGTTTTTTTTTTTTTTTTTTTTTTTTTTTTTCTTTTCTGGATATTATCAGCCTCTGTAACATGTCAACTGTTAGGATTTAAGGGAAAAGATTGCTTGACATTACAGTGAAAGTGTAGAGCAAAGAAAGAACAATAGATGATTGCAGAGTTTAGGGAAATATATGCCTTGGCTGTGCCCTGTCTGTCAGTGAACACAATACCTTATTATACTTGTGACATTGCAGTGGGCACACAAGATGAAATTCTAAGAACCTACACAGTATGGTGGCTGAAGAAGGAAGGAGGCCCTCTAGATAGGGATTAAAGGAATTTTTGCTCTGAGCAGTGTCCTTAACACTCTCTGGCCATTTAAATAACATTTTTGTATACTTTTCATATCTTAAAACCTTAAAGGATTAGTCCACTGAAAAGTGTATTCTGATGTAGGTGAAGTCTGGTGTTGTGAGTGCATATGTCTTTTTGGAGAGTGCTGTGACAGCTATACATGTCAAGTCACCCAGAAATCTCAGGATTCACTTGATGTTTGGGGTGTCTTCTGGAGCTGAACCAAATATAATGTGTTCTTCCAAGTGTTCTGCATCTCCTGGAGACCAAATCCACTGGTCACCCATCAGCGGATTCACCACAGTATGCCATGCCCACAAGTCTTCATCGGTCATATGGTGCTTGCGCAGTGGGAACAGAAGTGCACATTGGACAGAAGAGTAGTGCTACCTTCCTCATACCTTCCTCACCAATATCTTTTCTCCACATCTGCGTAATATGTACAGAGCCATCTCCTCCCCACCCTGAGCATTCTGATAACCAGCCTTCCTCCTTGCTTACCCAAAAGAACCTTCCAGGTGCTAAGGCCAAAGTCTTCGGTGCTGCGACTCAGGCTGGTGGTGCCCATTTCGAGTAGGACAAAGATGTCTAGATATCCATGAACCAGTATCCCTCACTCTAAAGTCATCCCTTGCCTGCACTTTTCAGGGGCTACAGTACTTTTTTTTTTACAAACTAATATAGATGTAAATCTAAGGGATTCCGAGTGCAGGTATCCAGAAGTAGCAGCAGGGAAGACTAGATCATCGAGCTACACTCAAGGAGGCAAGAATCAGACCAAGTATGATTTAAGTATGATTTATTAATAGTGAAACAAAATCACATCCAACAACAGCAAACAATATACAAGGCAAACTTGAAAATATAAGTGAACAGTAACCAAGTGACAGAAAACCTAACTACCAAATCTAACTTTTATTCCATGCTTCCTTTTTTTTTGTATACACTGTATAACAGGGTAACACCAGAAGTGCAAGGAACAGTCAGAAAGGGGGAACTAGGACGGGGGCCAAGAGCAGCAGATGAGAGTTTGCAGGGTACAAGATTAAGACAGGAATCAGGATCATGAAATATCAGCAAGCAGGTATCTATCTAACAAGCAAAACACTGAAGCAAAGATAAAAATCAAGGGAAGGGTTATATGCCTTCCCAGCAGCCATCACCAGGTGAAGCCTATTTACTGGGATCTGCTGGAGACGCCTACTGGTGGCCACTAAAATCGCACCCTTCAGCTCTGGGAACCACTGTGCCACCAGCAGGTGATCCAGGTCCTGATAGTAAATTGAGTGAAGACTAATTGTATTATATGTTATTGTTTTGTACTATATGTCATTGTTATATTGTGTGCATAGCCTTTTTTTTTTTTTATTCTTTCTAGATCCACGTGTGGAGGACTGGCCACTCATGTCCTCTCCAATCCCCCAGACAATCCTCATTGGGGCATATGTTTACTTTGTCTCGTCTTTGGGACCACGGCTGATGGAGAACAGAAAACCTTTTGATTTGACAGGGATAATGGCTGTGTATAACTTATCCATGGTCATTTTCTCCTTGTACATGTGTTATGAAGTAAGTTCACACTAAGTATATTCAAGACATGACCCTTAGTAAATGATTAATAGATGGGTGTAGGATGTTTAGTCTACAATAGCCAAGTGTTTTACACTTGTACTTGTTATCAATTCCTCTCTCAGCAGTCTCAGCCTCAGCCCAAACATGCCAGGAATTATCTGAGAGGGGCCACTAAGGCTGGCCATACATTATGCCGTTTTTTGTACAATTTTCCTTTAGATTTATCAAAAACCATATACTGTAATATGATGTCAAACCTAAACACTTTAAATTTGTATGAATTTAGGCTAGCCCTCGCACTACATAGTTGAAGGTGATTCTAAGGGAAATTGAACAAGAAATGTATGGGCAGATTAAACAGAAATCACAAGTTTTTTATATAGAAATAGAGACGGTCAAGCTGGAAAGAGACATTGGCAAACGTTGCAGGTCTGCTGATACAGATTGGACAGCTGTAGTCTTTTTGCAATTTAAAAGTTTACCTGTCAGCCATTTTAAACGTTTGAAAGTAAAACTCCGGCACAAGAGCAGACACCATCAGGTACCTGTTATTATCTATATTCCTCTGAGTTTTTCTGATGTATTTCCACATTGCTACCAGGCTTTACTTTTCTAAAGGAGCTGACATTACTAGTTAGAGTGCTTCTAAAGCATCCATTTCACCATTGTAACATAGGAAATAAAATAAAGGCACACTGTAAAAAAGGAAGTTGAACTGTCACATGGCGAGTTAAATCTAAAGAAAAGCATTGCCAACCCTTTTTTGTCATACTTCTCTTGCTGTTACTTACTTTTGCTCTCCAGTGACCCAGAATCAGCCAATAGCGGGCTATTGCCTGCTTTCAGCTGACATGGCAGAGTTGTTCCAGGCTCTGGATGGATCCCAACAATATAGTCGGGATCCACCCGGCTGCCTGATTGACAGCTGCGCCCAACACCCTCCCCTTACTGGGTCTCCAGTGAGTGCTGCAGGAGCGGTTACTGACAGTCACTGTTCTCTAGTCCAAGCAAACCAAGAACTGAGCAATCATCGGGCTTAGAGCTGATGTCTGACAGCTGTAGCATCACACTGATTCTGCATCATAGAGGTGAGTATGAAAGTTTATTTTTTTTATAAACCCCAAAAATTCCTTTAAATAGCTCCAGGAGCCACTTGTGTATAACATTTCTGGATGTGTCAGCATGTATCCTACTGGGTGCTGTGGTTCCTCCCACTGGCCATACGCTGTGTGAATTTTCACTGATTCCTAAGGAACCAACTGAAATTTGCACACTGGGTGGCCATGCAGGCCCAGTTAGTTTTACCCAAGTCAAAGGAATCTGCTGAAATTTTTTCAGTCAAACAGCAGCTGCATCCAGCGCCCTGTATCTCCGATCAGCAAAACTGAGCATCACATCAAAGATCTGCTTCTGTGTTAGGAATGGTCAGAATGCTGCCGGAAGGGCACTGGCAGGATCACCAGAGAAGAGAGGGCGGCAGATAAACAGGTACAACTTATGCAGGAGGATTTGTTTCATCTATGTGTATCACCTGAGGCCAGTCACTTCACTGGGTATAGGTAAGGATTTGCAACCACTTTAGGTAAATATTTATATATTTCAGTTTACAATTAAGAGTATCTCCCTACATACACACAGTAGTGGGTAGATGTTAATCAAAAGCTTTCTCAACTTTTTGTTTCATGATTAGTGGTCATGATTACATTATCCTAAAGACATCTGACCTTTCCAGAACTTGTTTTCTGTCACTGTGCCAGACATTCAGTTGACCCCACTGCATATTTCAGATTGATAAGACTTTGTTGTTACTGTACTTTGCTTTTCATTGCAGTTCCTTATGTCAGGCTGGGCTACAGGATATTCCTTCCAATGTGACATTGTGGACTACTCTAGGTCACCACAGGCCATACGTGTAAGTCAATGATTTACGATAATAGGCTCCTGTGAGCAGTGAAATGTGTAAATGGTGATGGTAAAGGAAATAACATTGTGATCCAGCTGATTTGGTAGCTAGCACTGAGAAAGTTTCCATGATCCCAGCATGCTAATCACACCGCGGAACTCACTGATGCAGAATTTTCTAATATACAAATACTCTGTAAACTGCCTTTACTTCTTGTATCATACAGTTCACATTTTTATGTTTAGTGTTGATGAAAGGATGAACATATATTACTTGTTTCTTAATTGATAAAATGCATGGGCAAAAGAAAATCTGTTCTTTACCATGGGACCTGTTCACACTAATGGATTGCATTGCATTGGACAAAAATAATCATGTGGCATTTTGGAGGTATGAACCTGCATCTTGCTGCACAGGTTGAAGCAGTAGCACAACATACCTAAAATGCTTGTCAGTGCAACACAATTTATTATTACTATTATACAGTATTTATATAGTGCCAACAGTTTGCTCAGCGCTTTACAATATAAAGGGAGACAATACAGCAATGATACAGTTCAATACAAGAGGGTTAGCAGGGCCCTGCTCCTTGGAGCTTACAATCTTAGTTAACATATACATTATGGTGTGAATGAGACTTAAAGCATAACCAAAGGCGCATGTACTTACATAGTTACATAGTTAGTCTGACTGGAAAAAATACAAAAGTCAATTCAGTTCAACCACAAAAAAAAAAAAAAAGTTATATTCCTATACCCACAGTTGATCCAGAGGAAGGCAAAAAAAACAGCAATGCATGTTCCAATTTGCTCCTGCTGAGGAAAAAAATTCCTTCCTGATCCCCCAAGAGGCAATCGGATATTCCCTGGATCAACTTTACCTAGAAATTTTAGTATCCAGTTATATTCTGTGTACTTGCCTTAGTTCCCATAGTCCGACATCTGCAAGGTCCCTTGGGGGACTGGCATCTTCTTCACTGGCTCTGCCAGGTGCCAGTGTTCAGCTGTTATGATTGGCTAGCTTGGGAGTGCAGTTGCCCCTGCACGGAGTTTAAAAGAAAAATAATAAATGCACACATTTTTGCAGATTAAAAAAATGTGCATTTATTTCAGGTATTTATATAGCACGGTGCGGCGCTTTACATATATATTATACATTCACATCAGTCCCTAACCCTCAAGGGGCGTACAATCTAAGGTCCCTAACTCACATTCATACATACACATACTAGGGCCACTTTAGACAGGGTCTAATTTACCTACCAGCATGTCTTTGGAGTGTGGGAGGAAACAGGAGTACCCGGAGGAAACCCACGCAGGCACAGGGAGAACATGCAAACTCCAGGCAGGTGGTGTCCTGGTTGGGATTCGAACTAGCGACCCTAGTACTGCTAGGCAGAAGTGCTAACCATTTAGCCACTGTGCTGCCCATTATTTCCCCATGGAGTACTACATGTAGGAGAAGGATTCTGTAGGTAATTGTACAGCTGTGTCAACAGAAGATTTAATGTCTTACTGAACACAATCTCTGCAATAAATTCTTGGATGTACAGTATTGTCATTTTATGAAGATGCAGACTTTCAGAATTGTTTAAAAAAGATGTTCTTTGAATAGAACATAAAAGACATTTTAATTTTTTTTTCTCTTTGTTGTGCTTTGTAGATGGCATGGACATGCTGGCTTTTTTATTTTTCAAAGTTTATTGAGTTACTTGATACAGTAAGTATAGGAATGTAATACGTGAGTCTTATATAAAATGTTGGATTACTCTTGTTCAGTGATCACGGCCCTCTGCTGTATGGCTTTGTACCCTCTTACCATGGCTCTTATGTACAGTAGTTGAGTGTTCTATTCACAGTATATGCTGGTATGTGTACTCTCTGAAACACCCCGAGCCTCAGCCTGACTAATTGTGTACTAGATCCTATTAATATAATAGTTGCTCCTATTTTCCTTTAGTGTGTGGTGGTGCATGTGTACATTTATTTTATACATTGAAATAAAATATAAACCCTCTTAGTGTCAGTGAATCTTCTCAATTCCTTATTGCTTCAATGTAATAATCCAAGTGTATTGTTGACTTCCACCGTATAACACCAAAAAAAATATATAAAAAAACTAGATAGTGTATTATCCTCAATATTCAATTGAGCAAAACATCTATACCGTATTTTGCGCTCCATAAGACGCACCTGACCATATGACGCACCTAGGTTTTAGAGGCAGAAAACAAAAAATAAAAAAAATATTCTGAACCAATGGACTGCAGACACAGTACAGGAAATGACCAGAGACTGCGGACACAGTACAGGGATGACCAGAGACTGCAGACAGTACAGGAGATGACCAGAGACTGCGGACATTGTACAGGAGATGACCAGAGACTGCGGACGTACTACAGGAGATGACCAGAGACTGGGGACACAGTATAGGAGATGACCAGAGACTGCGGACAGTATAGGGGATGACCAGAGACTGCGGACAGTATAGGGAATGACGAGACAGCGGACAGTGTAGGGAATGACCAAGAGACTGCGGACATAGTACAGGAGATGACCAAGAGACTGCGGACATAGTACAAGAAATGACCAAGAGACTGTGACATAGTACAGGGGATGACCAGAGACTGCGGGCAGTACAGGGGAAATGACCAAGAGACTGCGGAACAGTGCAGGGGATGACCAGAGACTGCGGACATGGTGCAGGGAAATGACCGGAGACTGCGGACATGGTGCAGGGGATGACCAGAGACTGCAGACAGTGCAGGAGATGACCAGGAAATGACCAGGAGACTGCAGACAGTGCAGGAGATGACCAGAGACTGCAGACAGTGCAGGAGATGACCAGAGACTGCTGACAGTGCAGGGGATGACCAGAGACTGCAGACAGTGCAGGGGATGACTAAGAGAATGCAGACCTTTTGGGGAGGGAGGGGAGTGGGTACCTGAATTTGACAGGTACCCGCTCCCACTTCCGCAGAGTGGCCCTCCCTTTAGTGTGGGCACCCGGCTGACAGCCGGGTGCCCACTGCGCATGCGCGAGAAGCGCTGCGCTTTGTGATTGGTCCGGCGTCTTCTGGGACCTGTCATGTTTCCCAGAAGACGCCGTACTATTAACAAAGCGCAGCGCTTCTCGCGCATGTGCACTGGGCATCCGGCTGTCACAGCCGAGAGCCCACACTAAAGATGCTGACGAGGGAAGCCTTCGCTGCGCTGGACTGAGGAACAGGTAAGGTTCTACTGCAGAGAAGAGACGAGCGGCCGGCCCGGTATTCTGACACAGTGGCGGCAGTGGGAATACCGGACCGGCCGCTCCATATTCGCTCCATAAGACGCACTGACATTCCCCCCCCCCCCTTTTTTGGGGGAAAAAAGTGCGTCTTATGGAGTGAAAAATATGGTAAATATAAATAAATTGCCAATATGTGAAAAACTGTGAAACACGTGACAATGTGAAAACACCCCATGAGCACTTCTATGTGGCTAGAGTAAATACTTTTACCCTAAATAGAATAAACAAAAGTCTTTAGGATAATTTTCCCAATACGCAATCTCCAAAAATTCCTCCAGGATCAGGATCCAGGATCAAGGCCGTCCATAAAATACCACCCAGAAGGAAGAAAGGACTATATAGTGTAGTATTCAAATTAATCAGTCGAGGCTTTAATAAAATATGCTTACATCAATATAATAGTAAAAACGCATGTATTCCTATATGACAGGATCTCCAAGCAGCTTCCAGGAACACATGTATTGATACCACCTTAGTAAAAATGGCTGCTCCGCTACTTCCGGTCAGTCTGTAACGTCTGACGTCCTGTCCCTTGATGTGTTTTGTCACTTCCGACTTCCTCATAATTCCTCCTTCTGTAGATTTATACCACATCTATATTTGTCACCCCCAGACATTGAGTTTCTACCCCCAACTTTATATTTCAAAAACTACATCAGATGGTTCATTCTTTAATATTGTTGCATATAAAAATTTGACAGAACAATATATGTATATACATATATTGTATGTAGAGATGTAGTATATATATACAGAGGTTAGGCAAAGAAATGGAAAAACTACATGATTTGCAAGTGTGAAAGTGACATGTTTTGCGTTGAAAGTGGAAGTGATGTAACATTCTTTTGCTTCCGCTGTGTGATGAGACACCTAGCTAATAGGTGGGAAGCTTCACTTTCATCATTCACTGCGTGTGCTGCTAGTAATACGGAGTCATGTCAGAGCTTACTGAGCTTCAAAGAGGGCAAACTGTTGGTGCCCGCTTAGCTGGTGCCTCTGTGACTGAAGTTGCCAATTTATTTGTGGTTATGGCAGCATATACAATTTCCTGTAAAACGTCATCTGATAAGCGCGGTCAATAAACCGAAAAAAGAACATTACGCAGGATTGTGACCCGGAATAAAAAAACAACTTCTGCAAAGGTGACTACAGAGCTCAATCTCCGTTTTCAGTCACAGAGGCACCAGCTAAGTGGGCACCAACAGTTTGCCCTCTTTTTTTTTTTTTTTTATTTTAAATTAATATCTTTTATTAAATTTTATTTCAATACAGATTAAAACAGTATACAATTTATCATAACATAAACAGTCCAAATAGACTTTTTCTAAACTCCCATTCCTTCCCTCCCTATGCCCCCTATCCCAATAGTTACCCCTTTCAAACTATTTCTACCAATCTCTTTCTAAACCTCTCTACTAATGTTCTACTCGCCTATGTTCTATCTGCATATTTATCACTCTCCAGTTATTTAGTTTAGTTCTAATTCCACCTAATTGATACCCATTATCTTAAGATATTTTTCTGATGATTTAAAAACATACCACCTACTCCATTCTTTTCTAAATTTTCCCATTTAATCTTTGTCCATGTGGTATAACTCCTCCATCTTATTTATATACTCAATACTCCCCATCCTCTCTCTTGTTGTTGGGGATCTGGTACCTGCCAGAATTTAGGGATTAATCCTTTTGCAGCACTAATTAAATGATATAATAAGTTATTTTTATATTGTTTTATTGACATCTCATCCCACAAAACAAGCAAACCCACGGATCTTTCTGGAAAGTTATCCCCATAATCTCCTGTAAATACTGAATTACCTCTTGCCAAAACCCCTGTATTTTTTTACATTCTCACCAAATGTGAGTCATAGTCCCTCTTTCCCCACAGCCTCTCCAACATAGTGCCAAAATTTCTTCTCTCTGTTTATGTGAGTTTGCCCTCTTTGAAGCTCAGTAAGCTTTGACACGACTCCATATTACTAGCAGCGCATGCAGTGAATGAATAAAGTGAGGCTTTCCACCTGTTAGCTAGGTCAGGTGTCTCATCACACAGCAGAAACAAAAAAATGTTACATCACTTCCATTTTCAATGTAAAAACGTGTGGTCACTTTCACACCTGCAAATCATGTAGCATTTCCAATTGTTTGTCTAACCCCTGTACATGACATTGTTAGGGCTCATGTACACGGGGTGTTTGGGAAAACTCTTCTGAACGATGGAAACTGACTGCTGGAAAACGTAGGTTAAAAAACGTCAGTTTAGATGCATTTGCATACCGCGTTTATGTGTATTTGCGTTTAGAAGTATTTTTAAAAGATAACCTCAGGAAACTTTCCCAAATGTCCAGAATGCACTGAAAAATAATAAAAAATTAACTATTTCAGACATTTTGAGAGGAATAGAGAGAGCAGAAGCAGAGAAAGCAATATTTGTTGAGATTACCTGTCTTTTCTGGTTGTATTCACTATGGATCCCATCATGAGCATAATGCAGCACGTTCTACCATTTTTTCCTTCACGTGAAACCTGTCCATTTGAATACATGGAAAACGCTTTGCATGCATTTCTGATGATGCAAAAAGGCTCTGGACAGCATCTGGACATGGAACAGTTAAAAAATGCTTCTAAACGCGCGTTTACAAGCATTTGGCGTTTTGAAAAACCAGTAAAATCTACTCCTGAACGCAAGGTTTGTGTGTTCAAAAAAACGACTGTAAACTCAACTGCCTGTAAACGACTAAATGGACACATAGGAAAACATTAGGGAGAGTTCAGGAGCTGCTAAAAAAAAAAACGCTGAACAGCTCCTGAACGTCAGTTTTTAGGAGCTGCAGTGTACATGAGCCCTTAGACATCAGAAAGGTGGAAACAGAACCATGTCATAAGAGGATTTGTGCAATATATAAGGTACCCACAAACAGTCCTAAGACAGTTTGTGGCATTAACTCCTTGTCTGTGCACTCCTGTGTCCTTTGCACCAAACACCAACCTTCCTGGCAGTGAAGTCCAGACACCAACATCTCCAACTTAATGGTAAATCATGCAAATACAAGATGTCCTTGAGTAAAAATTTCACAAGAGTATCTCCACCTCCACACAAGTATACACAGCAAGGATGTCAACCTCAACAGCTCAGCTTCCTGTACACCACGTGAACATGCATTTGAAGAGCAAGCTGGAGTCCAATAACCATCCTGCACAATACTTTATTTGGCAAAAGATAAGTGATCGGCAGGGGGGCGGACTGATCATTTGGAAACTCGGGCACTGCCCGAGGGCCCAGGGTCAGTAGGGGGCCCCATGAGATACCCCTGGTACCTTTTTCATAGGGTTTTTTGAGTTCGGGCAAGGACACGGGCCCCATGATCCCCTATTGCCCAGGGGCCCCATGAGCTGTCAGTCCACCCCTGGTGATCGGGGATATCCAAACAAACCCTGCAGAGCACTAACACGTTTCAGCTGAAGCCTTAGTCATAGCTCAATGACATAGCTATAGATAAGGCAAATGCGTTTGTGTTCTGCTGGGTTTGTTTGGGTGTCCCAGGGCACGTATTGTTTTACCAAATAAAGTATCTGTGAATGATTGTTATTGGACTCCAGCTTGCTCTTCAAAAAGATGTTCATGAGCATCAAGAAGGAAAACATTGCTCAGTACAAAAATTCATGTGGCCATGCAGTCAGAATTTGTAGAATAGTAGCATGTATAAACAGTCAGTCAAAGCATAGATAGCACACGCACAAGTCATATAGGGTACAAAAAATGTGGGGTCCGACATTTCCTCTTATGCTATATAGCATTGAGAACAGGCTGGTCAGATGCCCTCACAACTCTTTTTACCCACCGTACACGTGTTGTTAATTGCATGCCAGGCAATATTTTGTTATTTTATACATATGACCATTGAACACTTGGCCATGTAGTACAATGAATGATAAATTTAACACAGGCCTTCTGTTTTACGTTTATGGATTAAATTAGAAATACCATTGAGGGGCATGCTGAGGCAGCTGTATAATGGGGGTATTATTTATTATTTCAGATACTTATATAGCACCATCAATTTATGGTGCCCTTCCATATATATTGTACATTCACATCAGTCCCTAACCCTCAAGGAGCATGCAATCTAAGGGACCTAACTCACATACATACACTAGGGCCAGTTTAGACAGGAACCAATTGACCTACCAGCATGTCTTTGGAGTGTTGGAGGAAACCCATGCAGACACAGGGAGAACATGCAGACTCCAGGCAGGTGGTGCCGTGGTTGGGATTCAAACTGACAGCCCTAATGCTGCTAGGTGGAAGTGCGAACCATTTAGTCACTGTGCTGCCCCAGTATAGAGATATTTTCAGTGATACCAAAAATCTCCTTACACCAATGCATCCTAACTCTAATTGGTTAAAACTTTTATTTTCTCCTGTTTCCTAGATCTTCTTTGTACTGCGCAAAAAGAACAGTCAGATTACATTCCTGCACGTGTACCATCATTCCATCATGCCATGGACCTGGTGGTTTGGAGTTAAGTTTGCTGCAGGTATTTTCTTTTTCAGTTTAGATGTGTTCATTTCCTACATGAAAAATAACATGGACACCAAGCTAAAAATAAAAAAGCCTTGTTAAAGGATACGTTCACCTTTTACAAAAAAAAATAAATGCATGCACTTTTTTTTTTTTGCAGGTAAACAAATATGCATTTACAATTTGTTTTTCTTTGTTTTTCTTTGAAGCCTGTAAAGCACTGCACCCGTGATTAGCAGATAGCGGGTACAATGTTGGCTCCTGCAAACTATCAGTGTAGCTCACCACACCCTCACAGTTAATTGAGAACTACAACCCGTCTGCTGCAAAGGCTGACGGTAGTTGTAGGCATTCATTCACAGAACTCTGTGAATGAATGATGCGGCTGTGTGGGAGTGCAGGGAGAAGATTCCCGGCCCCCTGTCGGAGGAGGGGGATCAGGGGTAAAAGCTGCAGGAGTGGGAACATGTTATATATTCCACACCTAAAACTGGGTGCTTAAAACAGTCCATGTAACTGTATGTAGGAGCATGTAACATGTTCCCAAAGGTCAACTTCATTAATTGAAGAGCAAAAAATATATACAGAATAGCTAAGAACAGAGTTTTAATTTTCTCAAAGTAAGACACATTGTGTTGCCTAAAACAACCAAACGTTCTTTACTTAAGTTTCCAATGTTGACTCTTGTCAACCATCATAGCTCTTGTGTTCTAAAATACAGTCTAGGAATGTGTCAGTCTCAATAATGAAATGACCCGGAGCAGGTTTCTAGCATGTAACCACTTTCTGTCTTTTCTGGTTCAGGTGGTTTGGGTACATTCCACGCATTGGTGAACTGTGTTGTACATGTGATCATGTACACGTATTACGGGTTGTCAGCGTTGGGTCCAGCCTACCAGAAGTATTTGTGGTGGAAAAAGTACATGACTTCCATACAACTGGTATGTAGAACCTTTACAACTACTCTGGTTGTAGCAACTGCCTAGTCAGCATTCCTGACACATTACAATGAATGTAGCAGTTGGGGAGAACAGAGATAGAGTGTACTAGAAGCAGCCCTCCAACATATGTAAGGGAACTCCTTTTCCTTACCTATCGCCTCTTCCCAACATCCTGAATTTGTTACGTGTTCTCAACATTTTTTTTAATATATTAGTGAAATTGTGGTTGCTGATATCTTTGTACCTTGATACTATATAGAGTTTCCTTCTCGAAAAACGCAACTCCTCAGTTCCTATGTACCAATTCAGTTATGATGTGCCTTTGTACTTTTTTTTTTGGTGCCAAATAAATAAAGAATTTTTTTTTTAAAAATGCTTAGGAAGTCTACATGACATAGTGAGTTTGAAAGCGTTCTCTTATCCAGCTCTCAGCTTTTAAACTGAGAACAAAAAGCTGAGAACAAAACTTTCTTTTCTGTCTTTCACACTTTCAGCCAGTGTGTTTCTCTGCCCTGCATTTATATGAGCTCAGGTGCTGCAGGGCTGTGGCTACATGTTAGCCGCTTGGGTGCACTGCATGCTGCTGTATACATTTTTAGCAGCCTTTACATAAACAGGGAATCTTTATTGCATAAACTACCACACCCTGTGCAGCACAAAGATCCCAATTACAATGATTCCTGGGTTGCTTTTTTCACATTTTTCACTCTTTATAGTACCATCAACATTTATTATTTATTTATTTCAGGTACTTATAAAGCGTTAATTTACTCAGTGCTTTACATATATATTGTACATTCACATCAGTCCCTATCCCTCAAGGGGCGTACATATTAATTCATTCATTTTATTTGCTACATTGTTACCAAGTAGTAATTTCTGGATTATGACATAGCACTTTGCAGTTGAGCTTTATATGTCACTAATTATCTAAAACGATCTGTTTTTATTGCTTTACAACAATCTATACTGTATGTATTCATTTCCGTTGCTTCATGTGGTGAATGGATCACTCTCACTATTGTGTGTTCATACATAACGCATATCAGGAAATTATCAGGTATCAGGAAATTACTGTCTTGTTGGCAGATAAATCATTGAAACTTATGAAATTGTTTTATTTGTCCTTCTACCAGGCAGTTAATGCACCTATCAAATTGTGAGGTAGACCTACCATGGAAAGATACAGTGCATTTAAAACTTTAACTCTATGTTTAATATCCCTTTAAATAGTTAATTTGGCCCAAACACACTGTTTACTGCACTAACAGGTGCACTTGCTGGGCGTGCTGTATTAACTAATATATTAATAATCTATAAAAAAATATATAAAATATTAATGCGGCGCTTATATTCAAGCAAATATTTTCCAAAATATATAAACACATGAAAAAGTCCAAATAATTCATGTGTTTATATATTTTGGAAAATATTTGAATATAAGCGCCGCATTAATATTTTATATATTTTTTATAGAATATTATTGTATTATTTTTTGTATTAACTCAATGAGGCAGCATGTTATGAGATATGTGTACACTTTTTTGATTTTTTCATTTACACTTACACATTCACAACCCAGTTTGTTTTTGAGGGTTTTTATACCTCAATATTTTTTGGGTGCTGTATTAACTGTATGTAGACCAAGCTAAATGGAGTATACAGCACTGTGTTCCAGCCCCACTCCCGACACAAAATAAAGTTGGGCTGAGCGCTACTCAGCCATTCACAGAAAACTTTGTATTCTATGTGTGGATATTCTATGAATGAATACAAAGCTTCCTCTGATTGGCTGAGGTGGAATGGTGGGTGGATGAAGTCACGATCTCCATCTCAGCCCTTCACAGCAAGCTTTGTATTCTATGAATTAATACGCTTCCTTTGATTGGCTTAAGCATTTTTTATGGGGTTTCAATACATTTCAAGCTTGGTTCACACCAATGCAGTTTGTGTTTTTGTCAGTTTTGCAGTGCGTTTTGTGTTTTTGCATGCGTGTTTGACATATTTTTTGATGCGTTTGTTTAATGGTTTGTTTTTTTTTTTGCTGAACTTGTTGCTGGGCAGTTTAAAAATGCAAAACATGGCAAATGCAGGAAAACGCATCAAAAAAGCACTACGTGTGTTTTCTGCAGCTTCTCCATTGATGCCTATTGAACCAAGAATGCAACGTTTTGCGTTTAAAAAAACAAAAAAAGCCCCTGACACCAAAAATGCAGCAGCTCAAAAAAAGGATAGATGTGAACATGTCCCATAGCAAACCATGTTAAATGAACTGTAGTGCGTTTCTGCAAAAAGTCCTAAAAAACGTATTGGTGTGAACCAGGCCTCAATGCAGAGGTGAGTTTTCGCTGCTGTTTGTTTGTTTGGTTTTTTTTTTAACTTGCCACATATGCACCAAAAATGCGGCAAGTAGGATTTTTAACACAGCAAGAGAAGCGCAACAGACCAATGTGAAGATATGCACTGAATTTAAAGGGATGCATTTTTCTTGAGCTTTTTGTTATGCCTTTTTTTTCTTTTTTTTACGCAAAAGCACCGCAAAACTGCTCAGTGTGAAAGCAGCCTATTGGCCGAAAAGGTGTTGATAGTAAATTCATATTGATTTAAATTCATTATATTAAAAAGTCGAATGTAATACAATTGTATATATAAAAAAATATATTTAAAAAAAACTGAATTTTGGTTTCGGTCCAAGAATTTTCATTTTAGTGCACCATTTTTTGTAATCGTTCATAAAATACAAAGCCTTCCATGAATAAGTGAGCAGCACTCAGCCCAACTGTATTTTGTTCTGGGAGTGTGACTGGAAGTTCCCACCTCATTGCTGGAACACAGTGCTTTATACTGTATGTAGTTGGGGCTCCATACAGTTAATACACCATGCCCAGCGCCCAGTTAGTGTAGTAAAGAGTTTGTTTGGTCCAGCATGGCTAAACTGAACTATTGAAAGGGATATTAAGTGTAGGAGTAGCCTGTAATACAACACAGCATAGAGATCATGTAAAGCAGAACTTCAGTAGCCTCCCAGGTGGTTTTGCCCTCCCCTCCATTGTTGCCATAATGACACATGGGCAGATGTGCGACAAGTTTGAGTTTTGCCCAGCCTTTGGTTCCTGGCAGAACTCATTGGTACATCTATGCACGTGCAGGTGCTTTTCCATACATGAGCAAAGATAGGGAAGGTTTAGGACTTGACAGTGATAGCTGTCTTTAGTCCTGCGTGTGGGCAGATGATCTGGGAAACCATTACACACATCTGTGTCACAGGGTTTTTTTGGGACCTAAAGCCCTGCATTATTATTATTGTATTATTATACAGGATTTATTTAGCACCAACAGTTTGCGCAGCGCTTTGCAAAATGAAGGCAGACATTACATTTACAATACAATTTGGTACAAGAGGAAACAGAAGGTCCTGCTCGTTAGAACTTACAATTTAGGAGGAGGGGTTGAGTGATACAAAAGGTAATAGCTGTGGGGGGATTAGCTGCTGGAGGAAATAAATGGCAGTTTACTAGGTAGAAACAGGATAGGTTTCTTTAAAGAGAGAGGTTTTCAGAGATCATCAAAGGTGGACAGATTAGGAGATAGCCGGATAGATTGGGTAGGGAGTTCCATAGGATGGGAGAAGCTCGGGAGAAGTCCTGGAGGCTAGCATGGGAGGAGGTTACACGGGATCTAAGACAGTCTTGGGAGGATCGAAGAGAGTGGTTTGGTTGATATTTTGAGACCAGGTTGGGGATGTAGCTGAGGGCAGAGTTGTGGATGGCTTTGTAGGTTCTTAGTATTTTGAATTGTGTTCGTTGGGCGAGTGGAAGCCAGTGGAGGGATTGGCAGAGAGGGGTAGCAGACACTGAATGGTTGGTAAGGTGGATGAGCCTGGCAGCAGTATTCATGATGGATTGGAGGGGGGATAGCCTGTGTAAAGGTAAGCCAATGAGGAGGGAGTTGCATCACATCTACATACACGCAAGAAGTAAGGGAGTAAAAGTTGTGATTTTCCCCTAGGTAAGAAACACAGGAATGCTGCAGTGCAGCACAAATAAATTACTTAGTTGAAAAAAAAATAAAGTCCAATTGTAAGAGAAGGAGAGGAGAAGGTAGGGCAGCATGACATGACCTTCATGGTGAAGGTCCGCTTTCATTGAACATCACCTGCACCTTTGGTTTTGTGGAACACACTTGGACACAGTTATATTTTAAGCAAAAACTGTACTGATTTTTTCCTGTTTTAGCCAATCAGTGAGAATAATATTTTCCCTTTTTCTCCCAGACCCAGTTTGTGATGGTCACTTTGCACATTGGCCAGTTCTTCTTCATGAAGAATTGCCAGTACCAGTTCCCAGTCTTCCTCTATGTCATCTGGTGGTATGGATTCATTTTTTTGATCCTGTTTCTCAATTTTTGGTTCCACGCCTACATCAAAGGACAGCGGCTGCCAAAAGCTTATCAGAACGGCAAAGCACACCAAAACGGGCACGTGAAGGACAAACATCATTGACGCAAAGAACACAATTTCTAGCTGTACCACACAATGGTATCTTGGGAGTTACTTGACAATCAAGCATCAATTAGCAGTAAATGGACTACAATTGCACTTTTTTTCCCCCCATCATGAAGAAAGCTCTGGATTTTTACTGTAACTTATTTGGGATTATTTGCTGACAAAAGGGTGTACAGTTTTTTGTTTTTTTCTTCTTTGCTAAAAATGTACATATATTTATCGCTGATCACTCAGGAAACTTTAAGCTCGTTAGCATGGATGTGTATGATAAGTATTTTTTACTTGGAAAATCCTTTTGAACCACAAATGTGATCCTATGAGGCATCAGTCTGAGTGAAGGAATGACTGCGATGACCATGAATGACTGTCCCTGTCCTGAGACATGACACAGGTTTTTTATAACAGTGTCCAGTGCTGCAATCTAGTACCACATTTCAAATTTTGTACAAACAATAAAAGATAAAACATGAAAATGTATTTTTTTTTAATTCTAAACTATATTTTTATTTTTTCAGCTTAACATTACAATAATTAGACACTATCATTACCTAGCAGAAGTAAAGAGAGTGTTGACATAGGGTCACATATACCCAGCGAAGTGACTGATCTCAGGTGATACACAGAGATGAAACAAATCCTCCTACATAACTTGTATATGCAGTATTCTCTTCTCTACATATGTTCAATGTGCAGAACTTATAAAGCTTGTCTGAGATTTCAGAAAACAGGCAGTGGAATGCTGAAAGTACACACTGCAGGGCTCAGTGAGGAGGGCTCTGAGAGCTGATTGGAAGGAAGGGACACCCCCCCTCCCCCTTGCACACAGCAACAGAGCTAAGGCTGGCAATCACAGGCTGTGTGCTAGAGCTCCCTCCCCTGTCACCATTTTACTTTTGCTGTCAGGAAAACTTGTCAGAGGTGATTCATGCTGATAGCAGAGTGATGAAGCAGCAGACAGAAATAGCACTTAGTTCTCTTAATTAAGACAAGTACACACTATAGAGGGTTATGCATTGTTCATATTTCATGTCTGAAGTTTACAACCACTTTAACTGTAAAGGATGTCGTCGTAATACTTTTGTTGCTGACCCTGCTATTATTCTCTGCTGTAATCAAGAGATACCACTGCTTAAAGAATCTTTTGTCTCTGACATTCTGGGTGTATCAGATGCCTGGTTCCCCCGCTGCGCTACTTGAGTCCTCCTGCTGACCTCTACTTCACTGCAGGAAACCGTAGTGAGCTAGGGTCTGGTGGAAGGAACCAGAGCATGCAGAGCGGGCATCTGACACACTTGAAAATGCTGGAAGCAAAAAGATCCTTCAGGCAGAGGAGAACTGTGGCACAAGCAGCAGGGCAGGTGAGTATGAAAAATTGCCATTACCATGTAGTTTTTTTTTTTTTTTTTTTTTTTATTTCTCTGTATACTCATCTATTTCCAGTCCTGTCACATGATCTGACTCCCCTGTATCAGCCAGTGGTGGCTGCAGGGGAGAGTTAGGAGCATTGACAATGGATGAGACATAGCAAGCCTATGGGTGATGTCGCCACTCATAGGCATTACCAACTATTGTTAATCACTCTCTCCACTCCCCTGCAGCGGCTGCTGGCTGACATCGCGGAAATCATGTGACTGGACCAGAGCAGCCTGACAATAGGTAAGTATACAGATATTTCTTAAACAGGTTAGTCAGAATAGATTTTTAAGATTAGTTAGGTTTTAGCTGGCATTCTATTTTAAGGACTGTGTTTTACACATTATGCATGTCATTATTTTGTGCTGACGTTAATGTATATAGCACAAATGTATTCTATTCAAGAGCTGTCTGCATCAACAATAATAGGATGCTAGGTGGAGGAAGCCACCGGAGTCCTAGCAACAGAGTGCTTTAGGCAGTTTCTGGAGTAGCCACCTGCATCTAGCAACAGAGCCATTTATGCTGCATGCATGTAAACATTGCTCAGATGCGTACAGAGCACTTTGTATGCAGGATTTTGCTGTGTACAGAGCACTTTGTATGCAGGATTTTGCTGTGTACAGAGCACTTTATATGCAGGATTTTGCTGTATACAGAGCACTTTGCATGCAGAATTTTGCTGTATACAGAGCACTTTATATGCAGAATTTTGCTGTATACAGAGCACTTTATACGCAGAATTTTGCTGTGTACAGATACACAGAGCACTTTATAGAGAGGACTTTTTTGGTGTGTGTACAGGAGCATTTTGTATACAGCAGGATTTTGCTGTGTAGAGAGCACTTTATATGCAGGATTTTGCTGTGTAGAGAGCATTTTGCAGGATTTTGCTGTGTACAGAGCACTTTATACGCAGGATTTTGTTTTGTACAGAGCACTTTATACACAGGATTTTGCTGTATACAGAGCACTTTCATACCAAGGATTTTGCTGTATATGGAGCACTTTATACGCAGGATTTTGCTGTGTACAGAGCACTTTGTATGCAGGATTTTGCTGTGTACAGAGCACTTTATACGCAGGATTGTGCTGTGTACAGAGCACTTTGTATGCAGGATTTTGCTGTGTACAGAGCACTTTGTATGCAGGATTTTGCTGTGTACAGAGCACTTTATACGCAGGATTTTGCTGTGTACAGAGCACTTTGTATGCAGGATTTTGCTGTGTACAGAGCACTTTATACGCAGGATTTCACTGTGTACAGAGCACTTTATATGCAGGATTTTGCCGTGTACAGAGCACTTTGCACGCATGATCTTACTGCATATTAGTTGCTATATTTTCATTTAGCTGTATACATGAACCCTAAAGAATATCTAAACCTCCAAAAGAAAAATGTCATATATTGCAGCTTACTGGTCCATAGATGTGGTGACTGCATTTGTTTTCTTTTCAGGCTTGTATATCTTTATTTTCACCTGGTAATCCTGCAGATAACACACTTCTGTCCCTGGGTGGCTACACTCACTGCATATATGGAGAGAGCCATAGTTGTCGCCCTGGCAGAATTTCAAACATGTCTTTTCCATTACTTGGGGACATGGGGGAACTGGGAGTTCCCAGAAGGTAGATAACACCTTCCCAGAAGGTGTTTGTGTTTTCAGTTCAGGAAATGACATGGACACTTCAGTTCTGGCAAGATCAACAGGTTATTTCTGTAATTGCCTAAAAGAGAAAACGAATGCATCCACCACATCTAAGGCATGGTATACATAACAAATATTTTGTTCTTGGGTTTAGATAAACTATATGGCCAAATGTTTATGGACACCTTACCATAACACTTATAACAGTATATAAGATTGTTGGTAATGCCATTCCAAAAGCATGAGTATAGAAAAGTTGACCCCCATTTGTAGCTATAACAGTCTGGAAGAATGTCTACAAGAGTTTGGAGTGTGCCTGTGCTAATTTGCACCTAATAGGCCAAAATAGTGATCAGTAGGGTTAAGGTTGGGGCTTTGTGAAGGTCACTTTAGTTCCTCCACACCACACTCATCAAACCATGTCTTTAGAGAGCTGGCTTTGTGCACACAAACAGAAAAGGGCCTTCCAACCCACATGCTGTAAGTCTAGGCTGTTTTGGGGGGGGGGGGGGCGCACCATACCAGCCCACACTCCCAGCTCTATTGAACAAAGCCCATGTGACATTACAGAAAAAGGACCTGTGACATCACTGGGCATGACTGAAAACAGGATTTATGGTATGTATGAGTTTTTCTGTTTGTTTTTTTTTTTTTATTTAAATAAAAAGGCAAGTTTGAGCTTTGAAGGGGTAGGAAAAAACAAAACAAAACAGGTGGAGTTAGATTTAACCTTAAAGGATAATTTCTCCTTTGGCACCCATATTTAGGGTGTTACATGCACCATGTTCCAGCTCCTGCCTCTGATCCCCTCCTTCCTGCAAACACTGTCACAGTTTGAAAACAGTGCGGCTCCACCCACACGACCGCGCCATTCATTCACAAAGTCCTGTGAATTGACGAACTACATGTACCATTGGCCGCTGCAACCGATGGCTTGTAATTCTCGATGACCTACAAGGGTGCTGGTGAGCGCTCTTGTAGTTCATTGATTCCTCCTGCAATTCAGTAGCTTCCTGCCTGTATAGGAGTCTGCAGGATCCTGGCATTGCACCCATAACCTGCTGATTGTAGGTGCAATGCTTTGCAGGCTGCAGTTTAAAAAAAAAAATGATAAATGCATTTTTTTAGCTGCAAAAAATAATTTGCATTTAATTAAGTAAAAGGTGAGCTTGGCTTTTAACCCTAAATGCCTGCAACTCAACTTCAGCTAGTTTATTTTTCACATTTTTTTGACCGAGTGGCTGAGGGTTAGAACCCTGTGCAGGTTTTCATGCACTCTGTGACCCCACTAAACAGATATCAGGGTCAGTAATTGATGAAAAGTCTCTCCAGTAAGGACACAGTCTACAAGAAAACAATTGTTGAGGAACAAATAGAAGGATTAGAACATCTGTCATGTTAATGTGTTGTTGTCCTGTCCCAGTGACAACTGCTTCCTTGATTTCTTGTCCTTCTGGCACAGGTTATCATAGGGGTATAGCCAGAGGTGAACTCACCACAACAAAATAAATAATTCATTCTTCTTGAATCTATCCAAAAATCTTTTAAAAGGTTTTGGGTGAAGTTGGACTTTAAGACCCCTTTCACACAAGTGGACCATTTGTCCGTCTTTATCCATCCGTTGCATCTCTATGGAAAATCGGATGTAAATGGATGATCATCATGAGCACTTTTCTCCTAAATGGTAAGAATCTAAAAAATTTTGAGAACTATTTGTTTAGTGTTTTGTGTAGGGGAATGTACTAATGGGTGATATTTTTGCCTATCCCGGAGTTCTTCTTTAAATCTCATTAAATAATTGAAGTGGTGGGACTTTAAACATGAACATAACAAAAGGGGAAACATTTAGATAATGGGCCAAGAACTAGTAGTACAGGAGCCCCATATCAAAGCGTGGGAAATGATGATTTACTAGAAAAATGGAGACATTTAGGT